GGATGTGAAAATCCGTCAACAGATATCAACATCCGTAGAAGGGAGAACTAATGTTGATATCCGTTTTATATAAAAATTATAATGTATAAACTATAAAAACTATAATTATATAAAAAGGGACGTTGATATTATTTTATATAAAAACTACAATTTATAAATTATAAAAACTATAATTATATAAAAATGGATGTTAATTATATAAAAACTATAATTTATAAACTATAATTTAAAAATTATCAATTATAACTATTTAAAAAAATTAATTTAAAAACAATTTGAAAGCAATAAATTGAATCAATTGAAAAACTATAAATTATAAAAACTATAATTTAAAAATTATCAATTATAACTATTTACATAAGTATAATTAAAAACAATTAATTTAAAAACAATTAATTTAAAAACAATTTGAAAACAATAAATTGAATTAATTGAAAAACTATAATTTAAAAATATAAATTATACGTAAGTATAATTAAATTGAATTAATTTATAAACTAAATTTACAAACAATAAATTAATAAATTAAACAAAGCTCCAAACGACAACATCACGAATAGAATAAAATCACGAATCAAGCACCACAACAAACAAGCTTTAACCACAAAAAAATGTGGAAGGAAGAAGAAATGAAGAGAAAGAGAGAGAGGTGGGTTCTATGTCTGTTGTAGGGAGATTTAAGGTTTAAAAAAAGTAAATAAAGTTAAATGGTAAAAGTTAAATTAAAGTAAAATATTTTTGGAATAAAAAATAATAATAAAGAGGTGTAGGAGACACTTTGGACAGGGGAGGTAGCAACTCTCAAGAAATGGGCATGGCGTAAAAGCCCATCATAGCCGTCATATGTACAAAGGCCTAAGTAGCGGCCCAAAGTACGGTTTCAGAAAAAAAAGTAAAAGAAAAGCAGCAAGAAGCAACTGCCTGTTATGGTGTTACCATTCTCCGGGTTTAACTCTGGTCTCCCTGGACAGTGTTCGCGCAACTCCACGTTGAGGTGTGGCACAGTGGAGTAGTAGGAAGATTCTGAGTCCGAAAAACCGCAATGCAAGCTGCATCTTCAGGCATTGGTTACGGTCTCAAATATCAGGTTCAACCCACAAATCCCTCACAAGTTATCCCTATCGATCTAATTGTTCCATTTCTCATACTCTGTTTATAATGATAGGCTAGATGCATATCGGATGTGAAAGCAGACACAGATCACACTAGTTTCCTTGCAGGAACTCTCAGCCTCAAAGAAGAAAACGAGGTACATCTTCACATCTTCTTGTTTCTGGCGCTTCAATTTCCCTCGTTAGCGTTTGATTCGTGTGAACAATTATAGAATGGTTCATTCGTAGGTACATCTGATTCGGCTCTCGTCCAGTGGAACCGAACTCTTCTGCGAGGGATTGTTTTCTCACCCCAACGAGATCTGGGACCTCGTCTCTTGTCCGTTTGATCAACGGATCTTTTCGACCGTCTACTCTAACGGTAATCAACCTCGTCTTTTAACTTTCTATTTCTGTATGTTTGTCCTATTTGGGATTTTATTTTGCGCGTTGTAAATGTTTTGCTACCTCTACAGTAGCTTTTTGCTTCTTGTGCATCAGTTTAATATTCTTGGTTTCGAAAATTTATGATTGCCTGTGTTCTTATAGGTGAAACGTACGGGGCAGCGATATGGCAGATACCTGAGTTATATGGCGAATTAAATTCCCCTCAGCTTGAGAGAATTACTTCCCTTGACACTGATTCTGGGAAGATTAAATGGTGAGTTTGCCTGTTAACTCTAGACTCTGGAATGATGTTTCAGCCTAATCTTTCGCAATTTGATAGTTTGGGTTCTATCATGTGCTTTGTGCGGTGAAACTGTTTGTGTGGGAAAGTGGTTAGATGCCGATATTAAGTAAGGCGGGGTTTCTTTAGTTTACAGTACTGGCTTTACTTTAAGCTATATACTACAAAATTTGCTAATATTATTTAGGCTTAATTGTAATTTGGTTCCTCTATGTTTTTCGAAGCAATCAATTTCTCCATTTGCTTAATTATAGAAATCAGATCCTAGGTATTATCATGTTGTTTAATTAATAATAGAAGTTAGTGACTGATAATTTACATGTGACAAAACATTTTATTCTGTTGACTTATTAATGATCTCACTGTTAACTTTGACTTAATTAAATCCCCAATACAAATAAAATATACAATGATACATTTAAGTGTAATGAAATGATATATTTAAATAGGTTAATACTGCCAGTGGGTTCATTAAGTTGCTTTACTCTGTAAAACGTCATGTATTGTATGTAAATTGTTGGCCATGTCACCAACTTCTCTATAAGTAATTCGGCCCTAGATTGACAAGGAACCTGAACTTTCAATTAGGAAATTTGGGGAATTTGATTACTGCAAAAAATTGGAGCCTCGATATTGGGATAAAAATTTTAGTCAAGCCTATTTGTAACCTTTAATAACCTTTCTGTTTACTATATGTTTATTGAAACCTTTGAATTTGATACATTGATTTGTATTCCTTACTAAATATTCACACCAAACAGTATTCTTTGGTGGCCATCTGGACGGCATGATAAACTAATCAGCATCAGTGAGGAAAATATGTACCTGTGGAATTTAGATGTTTCAAAGAAAACTGCACAGGTATGAAGTTCATGTTATTGTATATTTTTTGTGACACAAGCACATTTAAAAAGAAAAATCATTTATACATACAGGTAACATATTGGTGGAAAATAACATGCTTTCACTGTTCAAGGTACCATAATTTGTTTTATTGAACAGATAAATGAGCTCTAAACGGTTGGAGGAAGAATTCACGATGATTGGGGCAAATTAAACAATTGCTCGTGTAAAAATTAAGTGGATAGTTTCTCTTGTAGCTCTCTTTTTTCTGGGCATCTGAACTTTGAAAGTAATTTGAAAAATGTTTAACTATTTATATTCCTTCATTTGTTATGCATCAACGATTAATCAGTTCATTTCTGTTACGGAATCTTATAATGTTATTTGAACGAGAGGCATTATAGAAAATGATTGGTTGAAGATGAGTGAGGATATAGGTCAATGGACTTCCTGAAACCAATCTGTGAAGCCTAAATTTGTTAGAAAGTGTTTCAAAAGTGGATCATATTGCCCATAATGGATTTAATTTTGTTCCCTTATGACAGTTGATTAATTGAAATGGAAAAACTGACATTTAAATTTACTTCAATTCTCATTACAAGTCAAACACCCAAAAAATTTCTAGGAAGTTGGTGTTAAATTGATATTGTATGTCTGTGGTTCATAAATTTAGCACTGAAGATCTAGTTCAGAGTTAAATAACGAATAGTCATGCGTGATTATGATCACTACTATTTGTAAAAATGCCTAGATTTCTTTTTTGGTGATTTTGAACTAGTTCCTCCACGGCCTTCCAATACATTCAAACATAACATCAGGTACAATCACAAGATTCAGCTGGTATGCTGCACAAATTATCTGGAGGGGCATGGGATCCTCATGATGTGAGTTCTGTTGCTGCAACTTGTGAATCATATCTCCAATTTTGGGATGTCAGAACAATGAAGTATGTAATGTTTATATAACATAATTCAGTTTATATGGTTTAATTTTTAGCTATGACATGATAATATTCCATCCCATTGAGTCGAAATGTGATTTTGTAGTTGAATTTTTTTAGTGGTTTAGTTTTGTTTGAACCTGGAATTATGCAGTAATATGATTTTCGGTATCCAGAAAATCATGTAATATTGTTTAGTTTTGGAAGTTAATATATATTTGCACCTGACTTTTCCTTTTGGTTAAGTAAAATGCTTGTTTCATTTGAAGTTCATTATTTGGGGTGCTAGGAGAGGAATATACTTTACCCTGAAACCAATTTGCTTTTTGTCTGAATCGGTACCCCTCCTAGGAGTTTCATGTATACTGATGTGATTAATTTTTAATCACAGGAAGACTATTTCAGTGGAATGTTCTCATGTATGCAGTGTTGATTACCATCCTCAGAAGCAGCACATACTTGTAAGAGTTGAACTTTGTGTTCCTCACTATAATGATAAATGTTTATACCTTCACTCATTATAATGTGTTCATTCACATGTCAGTGTTTGTTGTTGACATTCTATTACAAATACAAATAAACTCATCCCGGATAATTATTTTTACTTTTGTTTTCCAAGTATACTTTGACTTGCATACATGCTTTTTTTTCACGCCTATTACACGTTGAGTTTACAAAAGCAACTGCCTTATGAAATAGTGTAGGAATGCACCACCTTTTGATCTTGTTAGCAAAATTGAATTCTATGTTTTGGACAGGTTACTGCAGAACATGAGTCTGGGATACATATTTGGGATCTAAGAAAACCCAAAGTTCCCATCCAAGAGCTTCCAGGACATACTCATTGGTACTTGTCATGTATAGTCGCATAGCTGGTTTATATTTTAGCTATATTCCCAGTCCAAGAACCCTACAAGGTTCCAATTTTTTGTCATCCCCGTGGTGAAATTATGAAAAAAAAGAGAGAAAAAAAGCAGAGAGGGAAACAACTGCTTTACTTTCAGTGGTTGCCATGTATTGTTACAATCGTTCTTTTAAAACAGAAAAAACAACTTTTTTTCATTGAAAACTTGCATCTAAANTTCTGCGAGGGATTGTTTTCTCACCCCAACGAGATCTGGGACCTCGTCTCTTGTCCGTTTGATCAACGGATCTTTTCGACCGTCTACTCTAACGGTAATCAACCTCGTCTTTTAACTTTCTATTTCTGTATGTTTGTCCTATTTGGGATTTTATTTTGCGCGTTGTAAATGTTTTGCTACCTCTACAGTAGCTTTTTGCTTCTTGTGCATCAGTTTAATATTCTTGGTTTCGAAAATTTATGATTGCCTGTGTTCTTATAGGTGAAACGTACGGGGCAGCGATATGGCAGATACCTGAGTTATATGGCGAATTAAATTCCCCTCAGCTTGAGAGAATTACTTCCCTTGACACTGATTCTGGGAAGATTAAATGGTGAGTTTGCCTGTTAACTCTAGACTCTGGAATGATGTTTCAGCCTAATCTTTCGCAATTTGATAGTTTGGGTTCTATCATGTGCTTTGTGCGGTGAAACTGTTTGTGTGGGAAAGTGGTTAGATGCCGATATTAAGTAAGGCGGGGTTTCTTTAGTTTACAGTACTGGCTTTACTTTAAGCTATATACTACAAAATTTGCTAATATTATTTAGGCTTAATTGTAATTTGGTTCCTCTATGTTTTTCGAAGCAATCAATTTCTCCATTTGCTTAATTATAGAAATCAGATCCTAGGTATTATCATGTTGTTTAATTAATAATAGAAGTTAGTGACTGATAATTTACATGTGACAAAACATTTTATTCTGTTGACTTATTAATGATCTCACTGTTAACTTTGACTTAATTAAATCCCCAATACAAATAAAATATACAATGATACATTTAAGTGTAATGAAATGATATATTTAAATAGGTTAATACTGCCAGTGGGTTCATTAAGTTGCTTTACTCTGTAAAACGTCATGTATTGTATGTAAATTGTTGGCCATGTCACCAACTTCTCTATAAGTAATTCGGCCCTAGATTGACAAGGAACCTGAACTTTCAATTAGGAAATTTGGGGAATTTGATTACTGCAAAAAATTGGAGCCTCGATATTGGGATAAAAATTGTAGTCAAGCCTATTTGTAACCTTTAATAACCTTTCTGTTTACTATATGTTTATTGAAACCTTTGAATTTGATACATTGATTTGTATTCCTTACTAAATATTCACACCAAACAGTATTCTTTGGTGGCCATCTGGACGGCATGATAAACTAATCAGCATCAGTGAGGAAAATATGTACCTGTGGAATTTAGATGTTTCAAAGAAAACTGCACAGGTATGAAGTTCATGTTATTGTATATTTTTTGTGACACAAGCACATTTAAAAAGAAAAATCATTTATACATACAGGTAACATATTGGTGGAAAATAACATGCTTTCACTGTTCAAGGTACCATAATTTGTTTTATTGAACAGATAAATGAGCTCTAAACGGTTGGAGGAAGAATTCACGATGATTGGGGCAAATTAAACAATTGCTCGTGTAAAAATTAAGTGGATAGTTTCTCTTGTAGCTCTCTTTTTTCTGGGCATCTGAACTTTGAAAGTAATTTGAAAAATGTTTAACTATTTATATTCCTTCATTTGTTATGCATCAACGATTAATCAGTTCATTTCTGTTACGGAATCTTATAATGTTATTTGAACGAGAGGCATTATAGAAAATGATTGGTTGAAGATGAGTGAGGATATAGGTCAATGGACTTCCTGAAACCAATCTGTGAAGCCTAAATTTGTTAGAAAGTGTTTCAAAAGTGGATCATATTGCCCATAATGGATTTAATTTTGTTCCCTTATGACAGTTGATTAATTGAAATGGAAAAACTGACATTTAAATTTACTTCAATTCTCATTACAAGTCAAACACCCAAAAAATTTCTAGGAAGTTGGTGTTAAATTGATATTGTATGTCTGTGGTTCATAAATTTAGCACTGAAGATCTAGTTCAGAGTTAAATAACGAATAGTCATGCGTGATTATGATCACTACTATTTGTAAAAATGCCTAGATTTCTTTTTTGGTGATTTTGAACTAGTTCCTCCACGGCCTTCCAATACATTCAAACATAACATCAGGTACAATCACAAGATTCAGCTGGTATGCTGCACAAATTATCTGGAGGGGCATGGGATCCTCATGATGTGAGTTCTGTTGCTGCAACTTGTGAATCATATCTCCAATTTTGGGATGTCAGAACAATGAAGTATGTAATGTTTATATAACATAATTCAGTTTATATGGTTTAATTTTTAGCTATGACATGATAATATTCCATCCCATTGAGTCGAAATGTGATTTTGTAGTTGAATTTTTTTAGTGGTTTAGTTTTGTTTGAACCTGGAATTATGCAGTAATATGATTTTCGGTATCCAGAAAATCATGTAATATTGTTTAGTTTTGGAAGTTAATATATATTTGCACCTGACTTTTCCTTTTGGTTAAGTAAAATGCTTGTTTCATTTGAAGTTCATTATTTGGGGTGCTAGGAGAGGAATATACTTTACCCTGAAACCAATTTGCTTTTTGTCTGAATCGGTACCCCTCCTAGGAGTTTCATGTATACTGATGTGATTAATTTTTAATCACAGGAAGACTATTTCAGTGGAATGTTCTCATGTATGCAGTGTTGATTACCATCCTCAGAAGCAGCACATACTTGTAAGAGTTGAACTTTGTGTTCCTCACTATAATGATAAATGTTTATACCTTCACTCATTATAATGTGTTCATTCACATGTCAGTGTTTGTTGTTGACATTCTATTACAAATACAAATAAACTCATCCCGGATAATTATTTTTACTTTTGTTTTCCAAGTATACTTTGACTTGCATACATGCTTTTTTTTCACGCCTATTACACGTTGAGTTTACAAAAGCAACTGCCTTATGAAATAGTGTAGGAATGCACCACCTTTTGATCTTGTTAGCAAAATTGAATTCTATGTTTTGGACAGGTTACTGCAGAACATGAGTCTGGGATACATATTTGGGATCTAAGAAAACCCAAAGTTCCCATCCAAGAGCTTCCAGGACATACTCATTGGTACTTGTCATGTATAGTCGCATAGCTGGTTTATATTTTAGCTATATTCCCAGTCCAAGAACCCTACAAGGTTCCAATTTTTTGTCATCCCCGTGGTGAAATTATGAAAAAAAAGAGAGAAAAAAAGCAGAGAGGGAAACAACTGCTTTACTTTCAGTGGTTGCCATGTATTGTTACAATCGTTCTTTTAAAACAGAAAAAACAACTTTTTTTCATTGAAAACTTGCATCTAAAATTAAAATATATTATTTGATATTATTTTTTCAAACATCTGATTGGCCCTGTGTTACTTGTGTTGCCAGGACGTGGACTGTCAAGTGTAATCCAGAGTATGATGGAATGATCTTGGTTCTCTCTCTCTCTCTCTCTCTCTCTCTCTCTCTCTCACTAACTCACACACACACACACACAGGAATGCTGTTCCTCTGAAGTGAGTTTGTTTCTAAAGTGAAGGATGTATCAATCCTTGATTTATTTTAAAGTGGGTGGTGAGCTTAACCAACTAAAATTTGAGGGTGGATACTCGTTTAATTTCTTACTTTAGAAGTGAACTTGGATTTGAGAAGCTTTTTCCCACACTCACATGTTGAAACACATACAAAAATGCATTTTTTATTGACTTTTAAATCTCTTGCTGGTGTCATTCATTGGTGAAAGGTGGTCTGCATACTAAATTATCATGAGGGGACATTTAGTTATTTGTCATGGATTGTGGTTGTTACAGAGTAGTGGTACGGATTCAACTGTCAACTTGTGGCTTGCCTCAACGAATCATGACGAGCTAACAACTGAAAGGTCATTGTTATCTTGTGATATTACTATATTGCATTTTATTTTATGGCTACTTGGTTTTTCATTCATCTGTGCTTATGTTTTAGCAGACTAGTAGACTCATCTGCTCGATGGGTTGATCCATTGCTTAATTCATACAGTGATTATGAAGATAGCATTTATGGTAAGAGATTCAAGATTTTTAGTCCATGATCTTTGTAGTTGTCTGGAATTACGTCATGTCAAATTTGATCCACATTCGATCAACATATAAAATTGTAGTTTCTGTTTCTTTTGTGAATTTTGACATTTAGCTTTTACATACACACAAAATACCATTCCAAACACATGCAGACAGACTTTCCTTTACAATTTTTTTTTATTCATGTTACAGGGCTCACATGGAGTTCCCGTGAACCATGGATCTTTGCATCATTATCCTATGATGGCAGGGTAAGACTACAAGTAAATCTATAGGCTATTTTCAAAAGATGATAGATTCCCTAAATGAAAAAAAAAATGCAGAAAACATAAAATTCTACTTTGGGTGTTGAATTTCATTGTTTCTTATTTCTTACTGTTACATACTTGATTGGTAATGAATTTTTCTGCTAGTAGGGCCACTAATAGGATGCATATGGTCCATCATACTACTTAGTTAAAAACTAATATTTATAAACAACAGTGTAATATCATGTTTTGTTATTTGATCTATGATTAGGTCTTGGGTTGGGTATAATGACAAAGACAAAATAAACAAGTGACTTTCTTAGAGCATTAACAACAATTTGATTGACTAGTATACATTTATCAAAAAGTTGTCCCATTAATTTGATATTTCGTTTCCAAAACAGGTTGTTGTAGAATCAGTTAAGCCTTTCATACCCAAAAGATGAAGTTCAGCACCAGTTACCATGATGCCATCATTTGTTATCTTGTGTATGTTAGTGATGCCCCGTTTCTCGGGTCTTTAGATAAACAGTTGAATCAAATGTCTTTAAATATAAGCAGATGACTAAAATGCCCGATGATCATGCTCTCGGTGACGAGGCTGAAGAGGTTAACGTTACATGCGCATTTCATCTTTCTGGCAAGAAAGCATTGATAGATTCTAAACATTTCTTTTTGTTTAATTTTTTTATATTTGGACATTAAAATGTTTTAGGCTGGACTGTGTTTCTAGCTAATTCTTTTATTACACATCCATGTCATGTAATTCGTGGAGTCCTTGTATAATCTATGGAATTATAAGTTTGTACAAGTTCGAACAATTCTTTCTTTGAGGAAAGGTAATAACCCCTTCCCTTGTTTTATAAACGGCCTGTAATTGAGAAACAGAGAAGTGCTAGATGAAAGAAGTTTCAATTTTGCTGTCCCATCCCAGTTAATTATCATGAAATGTTACTATTAATTTTTTTATACTGCCAATCAATAATAAATAAATTGTATTATGATTTTAAAGTTAGATGTTGTAGAAACTAATAAAATTATTTATAAGTAATAGTGATTGAAAGATAATAATATTATAAACATTTTTATTTATTGTGTTCTACTTACATCTAAGGCTATTCTGTTCTATTTATAATTAGCTGACCAATAATGGTTAGGCTGAAACACTGATTTATGGAAGACGTGATGTTGTAGGTGTATTTTAATCAATCTCAGTGTAACTAAATCAACACAGAGCTGCCGAATAGTTATTGACACCTATTTATGTGTGAAGTAGGTGTATTTTAATCAATCTCAGTGTAATTAGTATGATCAATACAGAGCTGCTGAATAGTTATTGACACCTATTTATGTGTGAAACTCACTCAACCGTGGAAATAGTCTAGTGGGAAATCATTTGTTTTCTATGTGGTGGTGAATCTAAGATTTCAGCATGTGGATTTTACTCTTCTTAGTCTTGGCAAAGGCATGGTATCAGCTAAAGGAAATCTAGCAACTGAGTTTGATAAATTATTGGATTTCTGTTTGCTTGCTGAAAACATTTATTTCAACAGAGTATTGAATCATATCCATTAATTAACGTCATTTCAGGGACATCCTAATCATATAAGGGGTGACTAAATTGCGGTCCTTGAGAAACAAGAATATAACAGGAAGGTTGAGTTGCATTGCCTTGCATTGTTATCCACTTGAGGCAACACTCTTTTTGTTCTCATTCTGAATGTAATAAACCACAAATAACATTGTTTGGTCTCCTCGTCAAAGTGCAATCCGAGTGATTTCACTTCTTAAATGATTTATGTGTGCCACGTTAAGAGGTTACTGACCAAGAGTTTTATGTCATGTGTTTGGTACCACGTCAGCGTATACTTGAATTGAGTCAGCTTCTTATCCACCATTTCTGTCAAAACATATAGTTTGATGTGTCTTGTGGAAATGGAAAGACACGTGCCAAGACAATGTTTAACTAAAGGGTGGAAGTGAAGGTGCAAGTAATTTTCAGTGACTAGACTCAAGACTTGGGGCTGAGGTGTGGATAAGGTGAGAAGACTTTTGCTTTCCAACGAGGATCAATACTTCATTTACTTTTCTGCCGTGTGGTGTGTCCCTATTTCCACGTTATCCATTCTGCCCATCATCCTATTTGTGGATTCTCGATTGTTTGCAAATCTCTCATAGGATGACACACCACTCAATACTTTAATAACACTTATTTAGTAATAGTTTTAATATTATTTTTATGACCACTATTATTAATTTTATATTTTTTTTTAATGAAAAATCCATGGATCATAAAAGAGACCTCCAATATTAGTCAATGACAAATTTGATAACATATCACTAATATGAATATTCATCAATTGTTTAAAGCATCAAAGCCAATATTTAATCATTAAAATTGTTCAGACATTTGTGTAATATAATTGGTGTGTTGGTGGATTTCTTCACTCCCACTTTAAAAAAAAGTTTCCAAATATTTGGTTTAGAAAGAAAACTAGAAGAAAGGAATGAGACATTAAAATAAAATAAAAAATTTACTAAAAAAATTAGAGAGTCCATTGTTTAATATGAGTAAAATATAAAATAACATAAATACTTGTATATTTAATTAAGTTTTCAATTGTTTACAATCTTTAATATTTTTAATTAGTTTTTTTAGAATTTTTATTTTTTAATTGAGTATTTATCATTTAATTTCTTGATTAATTGAGTGATGATGATATTGTTTAAAATCCACAAATACATTCTTTCAATACTTTAAGTTAAAAGTGACATTTATTAAATTAATTAACATCTCATTCATG